CTTGGTTAAAACTGTTAAAAATGCAGACTCTGTTAAAAGAGCAGTACCATTGTGCGAAAGGTCTAGAAAATTACAGAAGGGATGCCTAATACAGCATTGTGAAATTGGCTGTTATATTGGCAAACCTCTCCGTATTTACAAATGGACCAGTGGACCAAAAGCATTAATGGAGCATGCTAAGAGAGGATAATTAGTAAGACTTACCAACAGTGTCCTTTTCACCTGCTTCTTGTTTCCTTCTCCGTTGTTCCTGCTTCTTTTGCTTAGTTACAGTATTAGAAAGCCCCAAACAGGGTTCCAAAATACATTTTAGTTGTTTCAGTCTCATCACTTGCAAATAATTTAATTTTCTCTTCCATTCAGGCCACTGTTCCTGTTACGTCCAGCATTCTGGATAATTGCCATGACTTCCAAGCATCATGCGAGTCAGCTGTAGTTCCTGAGTTTTGTTCATCCTTTCACGAATCAGATAGAATATCTCAAGCAACACTAGCAATTCCACAAAGAGAACATGGTGTTTCAACAGAAGATAAATTTTGAGTTGGTATAAAATATTGTTGAACTCTTCCCCCAAACAGATATGATTGAAACACTTATTTCTGGTATTATAAATGTGTACTCTGGAAATAATATTTGATCATAATGATGACTTCTTCGTGCTTGAATATCTTTTTAGTTACAGTTCTACTTGATCAACTATATATATATATATATATATATATATATATATAGTAAGGACACACACTATTGTCTGTAAAAACACCACTTAAATGTCTGACTTCATAGTTGTGTGGAATAAGAAAGCTCTTGTTCGTTATTTGTATAGAAACATACTAAATATGTACTGGCACATTGCAAGTACCAAACATGTAATATATTGTATTTTTTTAAAAACTATTAAGGAGGCTCTTGTTACTTAAGTTTACATAACATTTTAATTTTGTGTGTTCTTTAATACTGTTACAAAGTTTTAAAATCTTAATCACGTCTGTGTAAATTTTAAGGTTTATTTAAGGGATTAATCAATTTCTTCAAATTAAATTTTGTGTCAGTTTTCTAACTTTTATACTTGTGGGTTGTTTCTTGGCATTGAAACAAAATGAATATGCACAGAAAGAGTGTGCAGAAGAACGTGCCATATGTATATCAGGAAAAGTATGGATAAGGATAAAATGCTGCATAATGCCTTAAAATGGACTGGAGTGTGTGAGGATTAGACCAAAGGGTCCATTTCTCCAAGCTCTCCAACTGAGGTGGCCTCCCACCAGGTGCTGTCAATGGAGTGACAAAAGTGTCGCCAACATGGTTGTATCCATGCTTACAGGAGTCAGCAGAAAACCCCAAAATGGTGTTTGGAGGGTACGACTGAGCCAGGCCAGGACCCACTGGATCTCAAACTGCCCTCAGTTTTCGTATGATGGCATTGGGTTCAATTAGCCTGGAGTTGTCACAGTGATGAAGCCCAATCGTTCATCCCCTACTTTCTGTCATGGCTGTAGATGCAGCAAAGCCTGTGTGTGTGTGTGTGTGTGTGTGTGTGTGTGTGTGTGTGTGTAAAAGGTTAAGATTGTGCCCCTAAATCTGACTAAACCCGTGCCAAGGTTCAAAACCATGCAACCTAGTATGTGGATGTCATTTGAAAATGGCTGCAAAGACTTGCTGCCACCTGTCTGTTTGGGTTGTAGCCAGAACAACTTGGTTTTTACTAGCTTCTCCTAGCTCATGCCCTTTCCCCCCATCTGTTGAATGTTGTCTTAATATATAAATTGAGTAATAGATTTCATCTAATAAAAGCAAATGGAATCTATGGCACAGGTGCGAGAGACTGAAATCTCTTCACCCCAGCAGCTGAGATTTTTCTGTATAGAAGTCATGTTTGAAATCACTTTGTGACCTAAGTACTTTTTACTATAATTTTATGCATACTATTAATAGTGTGAGCATCTTACACCCCAATCCTAAAGTTAGTTATCTAGAAAAAGAAGCTGTATTGCTCTTTGTAAATAAGTTTGTTTAGGGTCATTGCATCAGAGTTGATATAAAGCACTACAAAAATATGAATGGAAGTACCACAACGGGCCTTGTATCAAATCACATTTATTATCATTTTTCAGTATTTATAACATTAAATCGGGGGGGGGGGACAAGCTAGGTTTTGAAAAGAATAATTAATATCTGAACAAAATAGTGAGTTGAGGTGACAAAGGCCTGGGACAAAATCATAATCTTCCTGTATTTTATCACCCCATACACTCAATGTTCAATAAAAGATTGGCTTATCAGTTTGTATTTTTGCAGTTTCTGCAGCTGATTATTGAAAAACCTCACCATTCTTTCAGAATGAAAGAAAGATCTCAGGCTAAAAGCGATCTCAAGCCTACTCTGATTTGTACTTAGTTCTAAGGTCCTGGGACCTTAAGGTTAGGTAAGAAATTGAATTGATGATGATGATGAGGCAATAATTATGCCAACCAAATTAGCCATCTAACCTTATTGCCTTCCACCCTATAGATCATTAGTCTGTCAAATATTTTGTCTACAGAGTCTCCATTGTTTTATTCATTTGAAAACTGCATTTTTATCTTGCCCTCTACTCACTTCTTAACTCCTGCAGGTTCTCTTTTGATACATTTTATATGAAGGAATGACTTAGAAGAATGAACTACTGTACACCAATTTATGTTTTGTATAGGAAAAGAATACAGTACTCTTCTGTTTGCCATTGAGCCACTGCAAGATCAAGGGTTCCTGGCTCTGCTTCTGAAATAATAACAGCTTCTCTAAAACTTGTTCTTTTGTTTCTTCTTTTTAATTTCTGGGAGATTCTCTGGTTCACATTTACAACATGACAACCTTTCTGTTATTTCTTTCCTATTTGTATCTCTTAATACCATCAGTGATCTGCTTATCAGACTTGCTGTGCTTTTCCGCCAGCCTGACTTAAAATGTAGTATGACCTGATTACCTCATTCACTTGCCTGCCTTGGGAAGTTCTCTTTGATCTTGGGTCTGACTTCATGTTCTTGATGTGCAGCTTTCAAACATTTGAAAGGTGTTCGTAGACTCTGCACATATTCCGTCAGTCCAAATACCTACATCTTGCACTTCTAGTGATTGAAATAAAATTGAAGCAGCTGTTGTGATTCATTTGATGAAAAACAAACCTGCATTTACACTTAGATTGAAATAAATAGAATCTATGGACAAAAAGAGACACTTGTGGTTCCTTTGAAGACTAAAAAAATTATTATAGCTTCCATGTGCTCATGTCCTGAGTTATTGCTGTATATACACACGTGCTAGAGTGGCAAAATTGTAAACAAGCTTACAAGCTTAGCCCCTGGCAATTTTGCTATATCTAAAGCAAGTACCCGGTATATATTGACCCTGAGGTCAGTAAAAGAATTCTCCATTGGTAATTGGACTAAATCTAAATCTGCATTTTCGGAGAAACATCACCACATTTCTTCATAATGTTTTCTCCAAAGGGGCACTTTGGTCCCCTGACTCTGAATTCTAATTGGCCAAATGTCCCTTGTGACCTCCCTGCCTCTTTATGGCAGGAAACCTACAATGATATCCCTCATATCCACTCCATACATGCATTAACTAGCAATTAATGTTCCTTTCTCTCCAGCACTATCATTAATCTACCTCTGAACTAGAGCTAAAACTCTTCAGGAAATGTCTTTCCTATTACTAAGTAGTTCAGATTCCCAAATAGTTTAGCCTTACAGGTTTAACACTCACTTGGCCACTCTACATCTCTCTTCAAGCCTTCCAACCCCTGGATGCCTGCAGGAGCAAAACGTCTTCATTCTGGCTCAATCCCTTTATGTCTGCCTCCTCTACTACAGTATCTTTTTGTCTCTCAGCCATGATTGTTATTTTCTTTGAATTAGTCTGGACTCTTGTAAGCATGAGCCACTGTAATACTTTATTCTTCTTGTAATGTTGAACTAGATTTAAAGGATTGTGAAGGTTTCATTCCACTTCTAAGCTTCTTCACAGTCCTCTCCTGGTTCCTTACCCTTGCAATCCCTAACTGCCCACCAACATCTTCCAGGGTTCCAGGCCTCTTAAATTGTTTCATTCCCTTTTTCTCTCTTGCAGTTTCAAGCCTTCACGTTTCTGACTCCACAACCATCTGACTAATTGATCTATTGTTAAACATGACCTATATACAGTTGTTTTTACCCACCCCCTTTTACCCAAACAGGAGGAAAGGAAAGTCTGGGTTAATTTTCTATTTCCCCTTAATTTCCAGATGCCTAGAATGAAACTTTGACCCTCCCTGTGCAAAATGTTGTAAGGAAAACATCACCTCTTAGATTTCTTACTCTTCTGTGAACAACTTTCTCTGAACTTTGGACTCTCCTAAGCAGGAGGTGCCCTTGAAGCAAAAAAGCGACCATTGAAACCAAGTAAAAACCCAGAACAAAATGTCTGAAAGCCCTGTTTCTTCACAAAAAGTGAACAGAGCATTCTGTAAGGCTTTGTCAGAAGAGCTGCGGCTTGACAAAGTAGCAATGAGTGCCAGCTCCATGGTTGATACCTGACCAACTGGCTCGACGGTTATTGGCTTTAGGTTGTAGCAACGCAATTCTCATATTATTTTCTTTATGCAAATTAGTATTCATGTAAGGTATTTCCCTAATGACCATTCATCGTGGCTGTGGACACTGTCATATTGCTGCCTATATTGTTGAGCAGTGTTTCTGCCTTTAATTTTTATTTTTAAAGATTCAATCATTATTGACCTCTCACCTAGCACATGCCCTGTGTGACACATTGATTCATTAAATTTCTTTATATCTAGGCAGCTGCACTTGGAAAGGGCATCTGGGTGTAATCGGAGGGCCCTGCATTGTTCTGCAACTTGCTCATAATTGGTGCTCAATCCAAGGCTTTGTCACAAGTTATTTTAAGCCACCTGATAGCAGTAGCATTGCTCACGTACTCTTTCTCCTGTGCCCCTTCACACACACACACACACACACACACACACACACACAGTTCTTTCCTAGCCAAAGCTTGTAACTACTTGGAAGTATTTAAAGACTTCCAGATCCTAGCTTAAGCTCTTCAAAAAGACACAGAAGACAAGGGGATACAACTCATCCTGGTAAGTCATGATGATAAAGTGTCAAAAGGCTCCAATTATGTTTAATGAGGAGCATGTTGAGCATTTTCCTTTTCATTGAGAGAATGTTTTTCCTATATCTCATTTAATTTACAAGCCAAGGTAGTGCTCTGTATTTTAAGTTTGCAGGGGCATGATGCTTTATGTGAAGATTCCCGACATGTTGATTATTAACATCTTTTTTTGGCTACTTCCAAATGTGTTGTGGTTCTCTGAATTTTTCTTCCAATAAATGAAAATCTATTTAGTACAGCACAACTAAAAATGTAATGCTGGCAAAAATTATGTTAAGAAGTGGCGGTTGGCATCTTGATATCCAAAAATTCTGAATTATAGATTTTAAAAATACTCTTAGAAAGATGAACATTATGTGCTGTGCAGTGTCATACCTCTGATACTGAATGAAATGTTTGCTGCTCCTGATACTAGCACTAGTAGTAATTTGGAAACAATTATAATTTACTACTAGTAGTAGTAATTTGGAAACAATTATAATTTACGACAGCCAGATCTTCAGTTTTCATTATTAGATGGTGTTGTTTTAAACTGGAATCAGGCCTTAAGTTTCCTGATAGAGAACTGTGGGTGCACTAGGCATCTAATTATCTTAGCCATCTTATGTCACAAGAAATAGTAATTCGGTTATTTTGCTCTAGCCGAAATCGTTTAAGAGTGAAGTTATATTTCTGTGTTTTTCTTCATAAAGAAAATAGAAGTTTATTGAAGACTATTTGTTCTTTAAAAGACTCTATGACAGTAGTGTTCCTAAGTCAATATTCCTTAAACTTGAAATCTTCAGTATCCAGTATCATCAAATGCATTCAACATTTATGTTTAGTGTAATGCTCTTAAAAATGGCAATATTGATAGTCCACAGCAGTTCTTCTATAGGTTTCCCAGTATTATGTTTTCTTTATAACTCATATCAGCTCAGATTATTTTGGGATGGTTTTTTATGCTTTAAGCTGAGAAAGAATCAAAGCAACTCCTTTTTGTAATATATCAACACAAAATCTGCTCCATATTCTTTTTGACATTTAGAGGGTAATTTTTATGAAGGAAGGATAGAACTTGATAAATCTTTCGCTATTCGAAATCCTTTGACTCAGTTAAGAATACCTCAGTTGTGGTTTTGTCTAGCACCACTGAGAGAAACTCAGCACAACTTTTATTTTGGGGGTGAGGTTGCTATAGTAAGAAAACAACTCTCCTGGCAAGGACTGGGTCAAGAACAACTTGACAAATGTTGATGTGGTGTTCTAATGTCAAGTTAGCATTTGATCATCCAAGAAAATATGACTCAGAGACATCAAGAAAGCGCCATGAGCAAAGCAGATATCCACCTACTAGATTCTGCGGTACATCTGAAACATGAGTCAATGAAGAGGACATTGTGCTTACTTTTTTGCCACCAGCCAAGCAGCTGTGATCATATCACCTCTCCAGGCTCATAGAATATGGCCAAAGTCACCTAAGATGAAGGAAGTATCTAGACCAGGAGTAGTCAATCTTTTTATACCTACCACCCACTAATGCATCTTACTTGATGGTAAAATTTCCTTACCAGCCACCAGTGCTCAATGGAAGGAGGATTCAGCTTGTGCCGTAGAACCCCCTACCGCCCACCTAGAATCCTGAAACGCCCCCTAGTGGGCAGTAGGGACCAGGTTGACAACCCTAGGTCTAGACCCCTTTTCTCTCTTCCAGCCATTACCAAACCTAAGAGGTGATTGGTACTGTAAAAGCATGCAGCACGATGTGTGGTTCTGGATTAATTTCATTTTGACTTCTTAAATACAAAGGTTAGCATAACTAAACACATTGCCAGGTCCAGGTTTCAAGGAGCCTCTCTATACAAGATACTTTCACCAATCTCCTACTGAGCAAAGTTCCTCTGCTCAGAACTTTAACAGAGACACCTGCTAGATTGCTTTTGCTATGTGAAACTCGTGCCTGGGCCCTACAACCAAGGTGAGGCAAATGATCTTTTTCTTAGGCCTTGGTTGCACCATACAATTAAAGCAGCATCACATCAGCTTGAACATCCAGATATTTGGCTTCTCTCAAAGAATCCTGGGAACTACAGTTAGTAAGAGCTGAGAGTTATTAGGAGGCCTGTATTTCCCTCACAGAGCTACAATTTCTAGAGTTCTCGGGAAACAGGAATTGATCGTTAAGCCACACTGAGAATTGCAGCTCTGTGAGGGGAATCGAGGTCTCCAAATGACTCTCAGCACACCTAACAAACTGCAGCTCTCATAGTTCTTTGCGGGAAGTCATGACTGTTTAAAGAGGTATCATACTGCTTTAAATGTATACTGCAGATAGGGCCTCAAAGACATTCACCAACTGTGAGAAGGTGAAACAAGTGTGGGAGGCAGCATGCCTTTGAATACCAGCTCCTGGGCATCACAAGTGGGGAGAGTGCAGATATGCTCATGCCCTGCTTGTGGGCTTCTCATAGGCTGGCTACTGTGAGAACAGGATGCTGGCCTAGTTGAACCTTTTGCCTGGCCCAAAGGCCTTCTTAGGTTCTGAATGTGCTGGTGCTGCGAAACAACACTTCAGAGTTGGAGATTTGGCCTGCGTTGCTAGCAATAGCACAGGTGATCAGCATCGGCCAATAGATAAGCATGCATGCTATGTAACTCTTTGGAGCAGATCAGCTACTTATTTTGAGCTTGTTAGCACTGATAATTAGATAACTGTAATTAAGAATGTCAAACATCTGTTAAAGGTCCTGCCACAGCTTGAGTACAATGATGCAGAGACCTCTCATGACTGCAACATGTTGAAAAATCTGGTAATAACAGCAGTTATGGAACAGTAGAAATCATGGGCGTAGCCATGATTTTTGTTAGAGGGAAGCAGGCTTTTGGGGGGGTCAGAACCTCAGATTTGTATTGATTTGGGGGAGCAGGTACCCCCTGCCCCCCTTTGATAAGCCCATGGTAGATATAGTGGCTGTGGAACCTACTCAAAAGAAGACTATTAGGAGTGACCAAGCTATCCAAAGACCGTCCAGACTTAAAGACATGTTTATGTCTAGTGCATTTATATAAGTACGCATTTTAGAAAGCATGTGTAAGTCTGTGGTAAGCTTTCTAATGTTAGAAGTGTCACTCAAATCTATTATTGTTCATTTTAATCTTAAAAAAAAAAAGAGGGAAAGGGGAAATGTAGTATAGTTGCTGTTTATTTATGAATAATTATTCATGAATACTCCTGCAGGACTAGTTTCCAGGAGAGAAACTGGAACTTTTCTGTAAGAGATAGAAGAAGAAAAAGGAAGCCAGGAAGTAGAGAGCTACCCAGGGGGTTAAGAAGGAGCTGACAATTTCAGTACTATTACAACAGGCTACCCTGTGGCTCCTCTCCCTTCACCATCAGCCATGCTGGCTGGAGCTGATGGGAGGTGGAGCCAAATAAAATTTTGAGGGCCACAGGTTAGCCACTCCTGTGGCACAGGAATAAGAGGTTAAAATAGGGTTGCCATATTTCAAAAAGTGAAAATCTGGGCACAAAAGTTGTTGAGCATTGTGGGGGGGGGGAAGTTGTTGGTCTTTTTTTGAAAAAATTCTCCCCCACCCATGAAGTTTTTGCCTATTTTTTTTTGGGGGGGGGGGAACTTGCCAAAAAAATTCAGCACTGCCGATATGGGCTGCCATTCCTCCCGGATACTCTTTTCGATAGATGAATCCCAGCTGTGTCTGGGAAATTCCGGGTGTATGGCAACTCACTATTGAAAGAGATTTCAGTGTTGGACAAACCTCAAAGGGACACAAGAGAAGGAAACTGCTCCATTATCTTACTCTTTTCTCTGCTTACCTGCTCAGAGAGGACAACTGAACAGGCAGTGAGACTGGCCCTGGGCTCTAGGGTTATGTGAAAGGGGAGGACAACTCTTCTCTGTTTATTTTCTCCACACCATGCATAATCCAATAAACCTCTGTAATGTGTCTTTCCTCCCCATTTTTCCCCTAAACTATAAACCCCTAAATGTTTTAACCTCTCCTCATAGGGCATTTGCTCAAGCTACTTGATTATTTGAGCTTTTCCTTTTCTACTTCTTTTCCAATCCTACAATATCCTTTTTGAGCCGATACACTTTCAAATGCTCTGCGCAGACGTGTGCATCACTGTGCTGTAAAATCCAGCATGTGGGAATTCATTCTGCAGTCTGCCTTCATAACCAACCGTATCATATCAGAGACACGATGCCTGCGGGAAAGAATTCCTTTTAACTTCCGTCGCTGAGCAACACCACATAGCAAGCTGTGATAAAATAGCATCTGCTCAGGGGGGAATAAGTGAGAAGACTGAGCTAAAGAAAGGAAAGGAGCTCAGCTAGAAACATAAGGTGGCAGAGAATATAGCTGCCTACTGGATAGGGTAGGTAAAAGAGGATACTGATGGGTGATTTTGATGTATAACTGAAAATGTAGGAGGGAAAAAATGGAATAGAAATGTGATTCATCGCACCATGGTGGGAAAGACTCTGACCAGCTGAGCTGTGTGGCTGCTTAATCTGCCGTCCAAGTGCTGTTGATGGGCAGATTCAAGGTCCCTTCACTCTCTTATTTTTAACCTTTAAACCAGATTTGGACTGGACAGACTTCCAATGACTCCTCAAACAGAAGTCTGTCCTCTTTAAAATATGACGCACAGCCACCCTAGGGTCCAAATGTAGCTCTCCAGACCTCTTTGTCAGGCCCAGGCCACACCAATTACTGGTTTTGCTTCCCACCCCAAGTGTTTTTGCCTGGCTGGACTTTGTCCTCGACCTCTGATAATGCCTCTTGCTTGCCTGGATGGAGGATAGAAAAGATAAAAATTGTATTTGTTACTACACTCACTTTTGCCTCTGACCCCACCCACCACTGTATGGTGGTCCAGAAGAGAACTTTGGCCCTAGGCTGAAAGTTTTCCTACTCCTGTTTTAAATCGATAGAGTTATCCTATACCATTACCATGGCATATTTCTCCTAGCAGTTTACTAGGGACTGGACTGCCAGGTATACCCTTATTCCTGATGAATATACATGGTCAGGAGTACCCCCAATGTATCATTGCAAGAGTCAGTACAAATGCTTTAGGAATACAACTCTATCTCCTCTCACTCCTCCTGGGCTGAGTACATGTAGTTAGGCAACATTTCCTTTTCAAAGGCAGCATCCTTGTTGTCGCCTTAATTGGCACAGCATATTCCCACAATAATGTGGCAGAGCCATTACTTTATTCTCAATGTGGAGATGAATCCAAAAAGTTCAGCAGTGCCTTAATCTCTGAGGCAATTGCATGCAAGTAGAGTAAAAGTGAAATACTTGGAAAGAACAAACTGCAGTTTGAGAAGGCAGGTGTGAACACATCACAGGCTTTGATGAAACGGTAATTGGAGCAGCAAGAGATGTCAGCTGTGTACCTGGTTCAGAACTGGAGGGGATTTCTGTACCATTAATAGCTGCACAGAAGGCAACATTTCTTGGAGTGCATCTTTTTTAAAAAGGCAGAGCTGAAAGTTAAATTCAGCTTAAAATGTCTGTGCAAAATTGGCAGGAAAATTTGGGGAGCTTTGCAAATTAAGCCCCTATCCTATATGAAGTTTACAACAGGTCACTGAGATTGTTGGCAGTGGGGTATTGTTGTTAGATTTTCCTCAAAGGCCAACATTGATGCCGAAATCCAGCATTGCCTGAGCTCTGCGAGTGCAGCTTTCTCCACATTGAAGTGCAGTGTGTTTGAGGACTGGGACATTCGCAGGGAAACCAAAATGTTTGTTTACAAAGCTATTAAACTACCAACATTATTGTATGCTTGTGAAACATGGACCATTTATAAATGCCATCTCCAACTCCTCAAAAGATGCCATCAACAGTATATTCGAATATTTTTACACATCACTTGGGAATATAGGCAAACTAATGCCAGTGTACTGGAAAGATCACCAATGTTGAAGCAATTATTCTTCAACATCAGGTTCATTGGACTGGTCGTGTTGTGCGGATGCCTGATGATCGTCTTCCAAAGCAACTACGCTATTCCAAACTTAGAAATGGAAAGCATAATGCTGGTGGTCAACAAAAGAGGCTTAAAGACTCTCTCAAGGCAAATCTAAAAAAATGTAGTATAAACACCAACAATTGGGGAACACTGGCCTGTGAGCGCTCCAATTGAAGAACAGCCTTTACCAAAGGTGTCATGGGCTTTGAAGATGCTCAAACTCAGAACGAAAGGGAGAAATGCGCTAAGAGGAAGGCACGCTTGGCAAACCCTCACCATGATCAACTCCCACCCAGAAACCTATGTCCCCATTGTGGAAGGACATGTGGATCCAGAATTGGCCTCCACAGTCACCTACGGACTCATTGTTAAAACCATGTTTATGGAAGACAATCTTACTTGGCTATGAGTGATCGCCAAAGAAGAAGATTGTTGTTGCTAGATTTTCCCATAGAAAGATAAAATTCAGATTGGGGGGGGCGGATATGGTCTGGCCTTTTGATGCCAGAAGGAGATTTGATGCAAGAGGAGCACTGCATAAACACCCATCTGGAAGTCCCCAAAGTCTCAGGATGGCATATCAGTTTCACAGTAGCGGTAGCAACCTCTGCTTGCCTTTCTTTTCAGCCGCTGCCACCAGAGGTGGTGGAGCTCCTCTGAGTGGTCACCCTCTAGGAGCCCACCATTGCTTCCCCCAGAATGCTCTAGAATGATGCCGCATCATGATGTAGCTTCCTTCTAGGGGGCATTCTGAAGGGCTGCCGGAACAGTGACCACTACTAAAGAGAGAGGTATGAGAGAGCAAACTAGGTTACTAATATGTTCTCATTCTGACTCATTTGTATTTTGGTTTAAAGGTGTCGAAAGCTTCAAGGATGCCAAACTGGGGAGGTGGAGCCAAATGTGGTGCGTGTGACAAGACTGTCTACCATGCTGAAGAAATCCAGTGTAATGGCCGTAGTTTTCATAAGACGTGCTTCCATTGCAGTAAGTGGATCTCTGCTATTTTATTTCACCAGCGAATCCACAATGTACTACAGTAAGGTTACCAGATTTTTTTCAATGAATCCGGGAACACTTTTCAACTTCAATGGATTTTGTATGGGGACTGATTTGTAAATCCAGGGACTGTCCCTGGGAAATGGGGACATCTGGTAACCTTATACTACAGTTGATTGTGGCACTAATCCTACTCGTCTAAACTGAAAGGAATATGTGGGAAATGGAGGTTTATGGTGGAATAGTTATTATCTGAGGGGTAGAGGAGGTTGTCAACCTGGGAAGGTAGCCCATCTAGGAGAAGGAAAACTCTAATCCTAACCCTCTGCTGCACAAATTCAGGGTGGAGCCCCAAAGATGGTTGGATGACACCTTGCATGCTTCCTTCCAGCAACACCTGCAGCCAAGCTGTGCCCAACATATTGCTCTGTTTCCTTGGGGCCACATCAGCTAGGTTGAGCGTGGGGTCTTGTTGCCTGGGCAGCCCAGAACCTCCATACACACTGCCCAGGCTTGTGCCCTGGGGAGGTCATGCTGGTGCTGCTAACACAGTGGTTTGACTGGAGGCACACACCACTGTCTCTTGGGACAGACGAATGCCGACAAGTTATGATGTTCAGTGAAGAATAGGGAAGAAATTACACTCAGTTTAACTCAACAACAACACCTTTATTATTTATATGGGTGGTGCTGTGGGTTAAACGACAGAGCCTAGGACTTGCCGATCAGAAGGTCGGCGGTTTTAATCTCCGCAACGGGGTGAGCTCCCGTTGCTCGGTCCCTGCTCCTGCCAACCTAGCAGTTCAAAAGCACATCAAAGTGCAAGTAGATAAATAGCAGGAAGGTAAACAGCGTTTCCGTGCGCTGTTCTGGTTCGCCAGAAGCGGCTTAGTCATGCTGGCCACATGACCCGGAAGCTGTACGCCGGCTCCCTCGGCCAATAAAGCGAGATGAGTGCCGCAACCCCAGAGTCGCTCATGACTGGACCTAATGGTCAGGGGTCCCTTTACCCTTTACCTTTTACATCTGACAGGGCTGCTCCAACTACTCTGGCTGACTCCCAACAAAATATTAAAAAACAATAAAAGCAGATGTTTCAAATCAAACAATACGAGCATCAGATAAAGTTAAGGGGGAGAGGACAAGGTTTAAAAAAGGAATTGCTTAGCAAGGCATGGACCGAGAAGGATTGATGGCTGGCAGACAGCAGCTTGTTTTCCTTACTGATTGTCCCTGATTGGTAAGACATTCTCCTCTAATGTTCAACCCTCATTTACTTTCCCGTAATTTAAACTGAGATCCATTGAAGATAGGATAAAGAGTGATGGTTTTAAAGTACAGGAAAGCTGAGTTCTGGTTAAACTTTAGAAAGGACTTCCTGCCTCTACAACCCTGATCAGTAATTATTTTTCTTGCTGGCTCTCTGCATGACAGACTGACAGTGAATGGTGCAGGGCAGGTCTACCCACACTTTAACTGGGCTATTCACAATTCAGTTTCTCTATACATAGTTTCTGCCTCTACTAGGGAGGCAGGCAGCACTCTGCCTCAGCAGGTGATGGCATTTCTCATCCTGAAAGTATAAAAAAGGGGGGGAAGCCCAAAGATGTCCTCTACCAACAGTAAACCACATAAACAGATATCAAAATCCTGATTTATTGGAATGAACAGGAGCATTTGTGAAGCACATGCTACTATCATTAAAGACATTCTAATAGGTTGAAGATGTCAATATACCTTTTATGTTATTGGATACAAGTTTTCTGTTATAAAGTGCACCAATTCTGTCCATCTTGAGCTTCATGCCCTGTTGGCATAGTCAGCAGGTGAGTATTGCCAGAAATTGCAGATACCCTTTGTTTGAAGACTTTGATGTAAATCTAGGTTTATTGCTGTCAGTTGTGGGCTGCGGTCCCATACGTGCTTACTTGGAAATTAGTTCCATTGAAGTGAGCAGGATTTATTTCTGAGTGAACATGCCTTTACTTGCATTGTGAATGTGTAATATCTTCTAGCTGTGCTGCTGTTGGTATGGTTTAGGTTATACATTCTTTTGTATTGCTTTTTGAAACTTTGTTAGTTTTATATACAGAGGAACCTCGGTTTTCGAGCGTCTCGGAGGCCGAACAATTCGGAACCCGAATGCCAAAAACCTGGAAGTAATTGCTTCTGTTATTGAACACGCCTTGGAAGTCAAATGGCTTCCGTGGCATGTTTTTCCATTTTCCCCATTGAACTTGCTGACCGCCCATTGCTTTTCGATTTTCTCAGTCTTCTGGAATGGATTATATTTGAAAACCAAGATTCCACTGTATATGTATATAGTATATGATCTTACACTCATGCTGTACAATATGCTGGCTACATTATTCAAATACGGGGGCATAATTAATAAATTAATATATTGATTATGATAGCAATAATAATAACTTAAAGCAAAGCAACAAGAATCTCGATTCCCCTGGTAAAACACTAAAACCACACCAGTCCATAAAAGTAACAAAATCAGCTACAGCAAAGATTCAATCAGAGATTAAATAAAAAAATAATCAAAAACTAGAGAGGTAAAAGCAGCTCATAATGTGCCATCAAATGCACAATATCCCCATCCTCTTCCTATTTCTGTAGTATAATGCAGGCAGAAAAGTACCCTTCCTCCATTAAAAACAAAAATTAAATGCCCACCTATTATCTGCAGCCCTGTGACTGACTTGAAAGATACTCTTTCATGTGTGGCTTGCTATTTACTTACTTTGCTTCCCAGCTGACTTTTACTTACAGCACATCTGTGGTGGACATGTGGCATGATCACAATTTGTAAGCCTAAAACTAATTCATGGCGGCTGTGCTGCCTCTGCCAGCAGATTGACGAATATCTCAGAGCTGTTTCAACAATAGCACTTCAAGGGCTTTGACTCCATCTGTTGCAGCAAACAGATACTCTGTCCCAGAGGGGCCAAAAATAGAAGCACTTTATCTGCATCACTCCCCTTACACACACAGACACACAAAATCATTTTTTCACAGAGAAGAATGCAGAAAAGGGACAGATCAGCTTCACATAGTGCCAGAAATGTCTTGCTTTACTGGTCTTAATTTTAGGACAACAATGTAATCCCTGGAGCTAAGGGCAATGAAACAATCGTTGAGACGGCTAGAACGCTGGTGGCGGAAAACACCCTGAATTGGACCAGACACGGGTTAGAGCTCAATGTCGAGCCTACCAAGTGGCAATGGCGAAAGCGAAGAGGACCTTCTTCATTGCCTCAATTGCATCTGCAGAAAACAGCAGCAGGAGACTCTTTCAGGTGGTTCGCAATCTATCAGAACCACCTTCATCACTGGGGCCTAGTAGGGATCCCAATATCTCCTGCAATGCTTTTGCAAAGTTTTTTGCACATAAAGTCGCTCAGATTCGGAAGGCGGTAGACTTCGCCGTGGAAGCAGGGCCGGGGTGAGAAAGTGCTAGAGTCCTGTTACATGGGATCAATTCCAATCTGTTACCTCCAAGGATGTGGACAGGCTGCTTGGACGAGTGACGTTCAAAGTGTTGGTGCTGACCTTTAAAGCCCTAAACAGCCTCAGTCCTGTATACCTGAAGGAGCGTCTCCACCCCCATCATTCAGCCCGGACACTGAGATCCAGCGCCGAGGGCCTTCTGGCGGTTCCCTCATTGCGAGAAGTGAGGTTACAGGGAACAAGACAGAGGGCCTTATTGGTAGTAGCGCCTGCCGTCAGATGTCAAGGAAATAAGCAGCTATCCTATTTTTAAAAGACATCTGAAAGCAGGCCTGTTTAGGGAAGTTTTTAATATTTAATGCTGTATTGTTTTTAACACTCGATTGGGAGCTGCCCAGAGTGGCTGGGGAAACTCAGCCAGATGGGCGGAGTATAAATAATAAATTATGATTATGATTATCATCATCATCATCTAAGAGTAAATCTCATTGAACTCTGTAGGAATTTTGGTTTCTCTCTTTCCCCTACTCTCCTATTTCTTCACTATTTAGGACTGGATCCAAAATCCAGTGATAGAAAATTAAATAACTCATGGCATGTCTTCCATTTTATACCACTCATTATATCAGGATGTTTTATGTCTGAAGAGAATATGGCATTTTCCACAACTGAAGCAAAGTATGAATAAGAATTGGAGCAGGTTACAATTCTGGTGATGACTTTACAAAGTTCTGTTAATATGTGTAGAGGTAATAATCACTTTTAGAATCAGAAAGCAATTACTTCCCAAAATGGTGGCTTAGATGTAATACACATTTATGACACAAGCAAGGCTTAATAAGACCAGAGTTTTAAAAATATATGCAGCATTTATGAATATCCAAAGCACTTCACATAGATCTTAGTAATCTTTACAACAGCCCTGTAAGGTAGGCCAGTCCTGTTACTCCTGTTGTGGAGAGGGCAGGACTGTATGTGGTTTGCCCGAAACAACTTAAAGAGTTTGTGGCTGAGGAGAGATTTGAAACAAAGACCTCTACCATTTAGTATTTGCTCTCCTAACTTTTCCGGGCCATTTACCTGTAATTTTACTAACACCCCAGATGTGAGTAGCATACTTTGCCACTGATTATTAAGTAGCTTTTAGTAGACCTTTGGCTCCAGGAACCCTCTTCTGTCCAACTCCCTGAAATCTATAGCAAACTGCAGGTGCATATGTTTCAGTGCATTTGCTTCCTTTCTAGTGGCCTGCCGAAAAGCTCTGGACAGTACGACAGTAGCAGCCCACGAATCTGAAATCTACTGCAAAACTTGTTATGGGAGAAAATATGGCCCAAAAGGGATTGGCTTTGGACAAGGTGCAGGCTGCCTCAGCACAGACACTGGAGAGCATCTTGGGCTGGATCTACAGCAGTGAGTGGAATCCTCGGTTTTTAAAAAATAATAATTATGGCCTCTGTTGCATCAAGTCACTTCATTAGTTTCCATAACAACACGCAGGGGGAGCTGTAGCGCAGACTTTTCTTCAATAGATCTAATAATTTTTATCCATTTTAATGATGTTCTGTCCCTGCAGAATATTACTTGAAAAAGATTTCCTATGCCAGTGGGCAATTATGCTACAGAAAGAGCCCGTGCTTTACATATTGTCACAGTCTTTACTATTCACCGCAATTGTGACTCATTAAGTGCAGTACAATCAAAGGGATGGGTTCTCAGTACAATGATGAAATTATTTTTCTGCGTTGTACTGAGATGTTATTAATACTTGAATAGCAACAATGCAATCTATATTGTCTACGGAAAGCGGGCAGAAAAATGACTGTGGGCATTTTATATTGGGGGCGGGGGCGGTTTCATTTGGAGAATTCTATGTTCATAAAGAAATGGAATGAAAGGTTACAATTGCAACACAGTAAGAATAAGAAAAGGAGCATTACAAGATGTGTGGTGGCATAAATATGTTAATTCCATAAAGATTTTCATCACTTGTAGAATCAGATTATTATTTCCCAAAGCTGTAACCTTAAGGAAACTTATTTGAAAATTGATAGGACTTACTTCCAAGTACAGTGGTACCTCAGTTTTTTAATGTCTTGGTTGACGAACATTTTGGTTTTCAAATGCCATAAACCTGGAAGTACCGTAAATGCTTTGGTTTTTGAACATGCCTTGCAAGTCGAACATGCCACACAGCTTCCGCTGAGTGCAAGATCCTGAGGCCTAGCTGTTGGCTATTGAGTTTTCGGTTTTTGAATGTTTCAGAACTCAAACGGTCTTCGGGAATGGATTACGTTTGAAAACCGAGGTACCACTGCACGTTACATCTCATGGAGGAGAGGGTTATTGAAGGGTAATAGGCATGGCGGCGGGACGCGGGTGGCGCTGTGGGTTAAACCACAGAGCCTAGGACTTGCTGATCGGAAGGTCGGTGGTTCAGATCCCCCGCGACAGGGTGAGCTCCTGTTGCTCGGTCCCTGCTCCTGCCAACCTAGCAGTTCGAAAGCACATCAAAGTGCAAGTAGATAAATAGGTACCGCTCTGGCGGGAAGGTAAATGGCGTTTCCATGCACTGCTCTGGTTCGCCAGAAGCGGCTTAGTCATGCTGGCCACATGACCCAGAAGCTGTACGCCGGCTCCCTCGGCCAATAAAGCGAGATGAGCGCTGCAACCCCCGTTGGTCACGACTGGACCTAATGGTCAGGGGCCCTTTACCTTTAGCATGGCGGCTACTCCACAGAATGCCCTCTCTTTTTGTATAAAGTATTTGTATTCTTCAACCAAAAGTGATTATTGTTTTGTTACGGATGCCACGACACGTCTTCTGCTTGTAGTGCTTAATTTAGCTGCTCCAAGATAAAAAGCTTAATGTGCACTGAACATTCTTGTCATCAGCTCACCAAAGCCAGCTCGTCCTTCCACTCCTACCAACCCTTCAAAGTTTGCCAAAAAATTTGGCGATGTTGATAAATGCCCTCGTTGTGGGAAGTCAGTGTATGCTGCAGAGAAGATAATGGGAGGAGGAAAGGTAAGAAACGCGCTAAGCAGGTAAAGTGCCATTGCATTATAGCAGAGGGGCAGCTGCCAAAATTGAAATTTTCATCAAAGAGAATGGAAAGCGCATGAGAGTGCTAACTACTTGGTGTTGCTTCTGAAAAGACACATTTAGGGTTGACTTGTAAAGGCACATTTCTGTTCTACATTTTATTCAATCAGTCAACCAACTTCCCTGTTGGAATAGGTAAGCCCATAGACCACATTAAAAGAAAACAAGATAAGCTGCATTTAAATTCCACATAGAAATAAAATGTTTTAAGACTTCACATAAAATCATATACAACATAATTTTACTAATTTTACTGAAACAGCTTTGCTTTTATTAAGGCAACTAAAAATTATTATTTAACAAATGTAAAAACCATTCTAAGCTGAAGCCATTGAAGGTGGGAGGTACAAGATAAAAATAGAATAAAACACAGCTCTAAAAACATCAAACTCTATAGCCATCTTCACAAATTCTTTTTAAAAAATGCAATTAATATTCCACAAATGACTGGGTCAAACCCCAGGGAAAAACTTATTAAACAAAAATGTCTTCAGTAGGCATGCAAACATCATGACACGAATGCTCTTGTCTAATTTCAGCTGGTAATTGCGTTTATATCCTTAAAACTCAAGATTTCTACCATAGTTGCCTGAAATGGATTCTAAATGTATTTTCCTGAGGCTGGAGGGCTTGATTGCAGAAGAGGCTAACTTCCCAGTCAAATACCGATTAGCTTTATGTAATAGAAAGCTTAATGTTTATTCCTCTCCCCAATATCTCTGCTGCCCCACGGAAGGACACCAGTGCAATGGGGCTTTCCCGTCTCCCCGCATCTGCCACATGCCTCCTATTTGCTATGGGGTGGGATTCTCTGAGAACCCCCAGAATGGTGAGTGGGGGGAGCAGAGGCGAGATCATTTTGTCAGGCAAGCAGAACTGCCTGTACTAACAGCATGTTTGTAAAAGTGTGATGTCAAATTCCTTCTATGTTCTTTATAGTGTTCTCCAATAGCAGGAAATGGAAATTGGTACTTGGTGTGAATTTCTATTTACAGATGGAACTGGAGGACATTCTCTGGGTCAAATGATGTCTCCCTCTAATCATGATAGGCAGGCGCTTCCAAGTCTTTTGCCTCTTCTTCCAGGGAGAGGAATTGTCTTGCCCTCCAGTCCAAACTGTCAAAGCAGGAACAACTCACATGTTGAGATTCCAGCATTGCAGGGGGTTGGACAAGATGTCTCTTGGGATCCTTACAACGCCCCAGTCCTATTATTCCTCAGCCCCCGCAAAACAAAAATGCACAGGAACCATATAAAACATGGAACTTAGAAAGTAGATCAACAATTGGATGGAACAAAACATACACAAGCACTAAACATGATATGTATGATGCAGGCAGAAGCCCTAAACCCCAGCCCACACCAGAGGTGGTCTCAAGAGGAAGGAGAGGTGGGCAGAATGTCCTCCAACTCTTATCTGTAAATAGAAATTCGCTTTCCATTTTTACCAGATGGGGTTGGAGGCCATTCTTTTGAGTAGAATATAATAAAGCTGTGTCCATATAAATCCAGGAAGACTTTGTCTGACAAACAGCTAGGCTACCCTCTGGAGAACCTTCCTTCCAAAGGACAGATCATCTGAGGAAGATGAGTCAATCTTGGAATGTGTGTTGGGACTGCCAAGTGGCTGCATGACAAATGTACAAGAGAGGAAAGCAACCCAGTAGAGCACTGAGGTAACAGTCCCTTTCAGAGAATGGGGCATCATTTCTTTGGGTGTCCACCAACTCCATCCTGTAAATAAAGCTAACATCCAATAATATAGCAAAGCAATTCACTATATTCTTGAAATCCTTTCCAAGATGGTGTTCCCACCTTTTTCTTTTGCTGTGCCTAGAGCAGGGCAGGAAGCCTTCCTCAAGTGGCAAAGGCAGGGAGTAGATCTGGAGTTAGGGGGTGGTCCTGCCCCTGATGCCTCCCTCAAAAGTTTAACATCCTGCCAGTGGTGAGATAGGCAGAGACAACCCATATCAAGGATCACATTCCCTCCCTACAGGAGAATAATCGATCCCATCTCTTCCAGTCAGTCTGCTAATAGATTTCCACCTGAGCTGTTGAAAATGTGAAATCTGGGGAGAGGTGTGTGGGTGTCTGTGTAAAGGGAGTTAATCTCTTTATTTACCAATGCAAACACCTTGGAAAGGAAAACCTGCAATGTCTAAGATTTCCTTAATACCCTTTTGCTTTCCGTTTCAGCCATGGCACAAGACATGCTTCCGATGTGCTTTCTGTGGGAAGAGTCTAGAGTCTACAAATGTCACAGATAAAGATGGAGAGATTTACTGTAAAGGCAAGTGTAGTTGTCGTGCCTCAAACCTAATTCAGACAAATTAAGGTGCCTCCCTTGAAGACTTGTGGAGTTACCAAAAAATCTTGTTTTCAGAGTGAAACTCCGCTGCCACTTGCCATATCGAGCTCCTCCCTCAAGTATGAGATACCCCCATGTCTTGACACCACACTATTCTGAATCTTCCCACCCCAACCTGCCAGTGATGCTGAGGCAAGGAAATGCAGGATACCCTCTTCCCCTGGCATCTTTCCTCTCCTTCTCACCCATGTGAAATTAGGCAAGGGGCCATTGATCTGTTAGTATAATGGGGTTTTGCCCCTACCCCAATTGGCTCTTCAGGCTCAGAACCCCCAGAACAGCACACAGGCAGAGGGAAGGTGGATCATTCCATCTGGCAAGTGGAAAAGTTTGCACTGATGGAACAGTTGTTGTAGTGCTATACTGAATTCCTCCCAATCCCATTTAAATTACACATACTTTGGCTTAGTTACAGTATGTTATTGGTTGTTCCAAAGGCTTCTTTTGGAGAAGCTGAGTTTCAGGGACGGCCTTGAAGGAAGTATGGGATATGTTTTGTGTTGAGTGCCATATGAAAACAGCTCAAACATAATGCCTTTTTTTCTTTTCCAGTTTGCTATGCAAAGAATTTTGGTCCTAAAGGAATTGGATTTGGTGGCCTCACTCAAGTTGAACAGGCTTAGGCTTGTCCAAATAGTAACACATGAACAAGAATGTATTAAGAATACTTTTTTCATCTGAAGAAGTACTCTCTTTTCATCTACAAGTTTTGTAGAATGGTGCAAGAAAGCTTGTTGTGAGAGGTAGTGTAGGAAAACATTTACTTTCTTAACAGCTACTGTTTAATATCTTAATTTCTGGACTGTTCACAAATAATTTCAGAATTGCTACCTATTTTAAATAACAGGAGCACATAGGATACCACTATAAAGATTACTGTTTTTACATCAATGTTAAATAAACAGAACCTGATTCTTATTTTACATTCTGTTGCTTGTAAGTGCCAAAATAGCACTTTTGAAGATATGTTGTTGGTATGTCACGAAATAAAGATACTGGACTGTAAGCAGCCACAATAATAATGTTTTTAAAAAAGCACTGTTCCAGTTACTACCAAGTTCATTTATGAGTATTAGCTCATATATTTTTTTCCACTTTGAACCTCTCAAAACCATGCCATCTCTCCTTGGGAAAAACTTGGGATGGTATTATCTCATCTCCAAACATATATTACAAGGACAGCACTGAATGTAGAACCACTTGCATATTGGCAGCTTGATCTGAAATAAAAATATGCCTTACAAGTGCAGGTGCTGAAAAAAAAGTATGTTATATTTACCTCTTGGATTACAACTGGTCATTTCTCAAATTCTTCTGAGTGTCTAACAGAGCCTGTAACGTAATTCCACAACCCTGAATCTGAACTCTATAACCCTTCTAAAAATGGACAGCACTTGTAATTTTAGCAACAGAAGCCCAGTTTGATACCACCGTCTTTCATCAAGAAAAAAACTTGACAGGAATAAGAGTGAAAACAGTATTAAAATCAAATCATGGTGCTGCTTCCTTAAGTTGTAATAACCACATGCTGCTTTTAATGCCATGGTGTCTTCTAAAATGATACATTGTGTACTAGCGCAAATAAGTCAATTACTGTACTATGTAGAACTAAGCTACAAGCAAGTCTCTCACCGTAATTTCATTATTTCTACTATTACATTTATATTCTGCCTCTCCTCCAAGCTCAAGGAAGTGTAGCTGGTTCTTCCTACCCTATTTCAACTTCAACAACCACTGGAGGTATATTAGATTGGTTTTTACTGTATTCTGTTTTGAAAACTTTCAATAAAAAAAATCAGTTGTTTTTTTTAAAGTAACAACAACAACCCTGGAGGTAGATAAGACAGAGAAAGTGAATGGCCAAAAGTCACCCATTGTGACTGAGTTTCAGAGGTAAATCCAGGTCACATCAGTTCTGACATTTTAACTGCTACTCTATACAAGATCTTATTTTTCACCCAGCCCTCAAATGTTGTGCTTGTATGGGAACTAAGCCTCATATCCAAAGCAAGAATCATACTTCAAGACCAACAAGCTTGGACTAATTCTATAACCTTAAACAATATATGTTCACTGATTATTAATTTTAACCTGCTATTCTTCAGTGTGACTTTTTTTTACTACAGTATGAAACTCAGGATACACAGGACCCTCGCTGTGTGTCGAGTCCACTGAGATGTATGATTTGTAGTATTTAAGAGCTGAACACTCCTCTTAAACTTTAAGAAAGGTGAACCACAAACCTGTAGTCTGAAACAAGCCCTTCAAATGCCATGAGAATTTTGCGAACTTGTATTGAAGCTGCTGCTACCTGCTTCTAAATGCATTAGCACAACTGAGAGAAGTATTTCAGCCATTATTCATCATCATTCAGTGTATTAGGGCCTTAGCCACGGTTATTATTTCATTTATAAATGTTTTCTCTTGATTAGTTGAAAAGCCAGTAATTACACTTGTAAATACAAAAATGTTCTAATTTAATAAATGTGAGCATGAATATATTAAATCTAAACAGCCCTTATATACAGATTTACAGATCAAAGAGACAGTTCAAGTTACAAATCAGTTTTCATATACTAAAATATTTTGAAATTCAAAGCATCTCTCCCCACCCTTAATTATCAAGTGCAAATTTTAATGGACACATAAGAACAACAATGGCTAGGATTTCCAGGCTGCTTTATAAAAAAGGCCTTTCATAAACAATTTGATAAGTGACATTTCACAGTTGTACTTACTTCCAACCTATTGGAAGATTTCATATATGAACTACAGTTGTCCCACTGCATTATCCATTTTGCTGCAGTTTGTTCACGTAAAACAACCTTTCCCAAAATAACAGTGATACAAATATAGCAAAGGAAATTCCGAAATAAGTTGCAAACTGTAAAATATATACCAAATATCCATATTTATTTCAGCTTCCAGCTGAATCCCAAGGACCGGATGTAGGTTATCTTCACACGGCGTGAACATTTCTATCCTTCAATGAATGAAACATTAGTGTGTACTGCTTAGTCCAGTCAATGATGTTGGGCTTGAACATTCCAAAGCATCTACATTGGAAGAAGTCTGCTAGGTTCTGAAGGCAGCCATAGCTAGGAAGGGGAAGAGAACAACACAATGAGAGTGGAAATATTTTCCCTTGTTTTGCTAATAAACAAAGTGTCTGAAACATTTATGATGGCCCGAGGGAAATGTCCTGGGAGGAGAAGGGGACTGCTGAGCGGCACTCCTGCGAAGGGGCTGTTTGTGAGAACTAGTTTCTCAACATGCGGCTATAGTCATATATGCCCCATATAGAGATACTGGTTTGTATATATGGCACTTCCACACAGGCCTTTACATACTTCCAAGGTACTCAAAATGGACATAAGTAATGTATTTATACGCTAAAAGAACTCGATCAGATTTAGCTATATGTGACAAACTTTTACAACACAGAAGCAACATGAAAACTAACAGCGTCCCCCATCTGTAAAAGGTTTCTGACAAATTTTGGGGCATATTGGTTGGTTCTAATAAAGGCATTGGACTCTTGTGGGTATCTATGAAAACAGATATTAGAAGAGCTATCAACTGTATCCAGGAAAGGAATGCAAGCTTGTGGTCTATTTCAGTCTGCAAGTCCTTGCCATGGATGAAGGGATCCAGCACAAGACTGATATTTCTTCTTCTTTGGCGATCACTCGTAGCTGAGTAATGTTGGCTTCCACAAACACGTCTTAACAGTGAGTCCATAAGTGACTGTGGAGGCCAATTCTGGATCCACACTTCCTTCCACAGTAGGGACATAGGTTTCCAGGCAGGAGTTGATCATGGTGAGGGTTTGCCAAACATGCCTTCCTCTTAGCACATTTCTCCCTTTGGTCCTGAGTTTTAGTGTCTTCAAAGTCCATGACACCTTTGGTAAAGGCTGTACATCCTTTAGCATCCCAGTATGAGGGGTGGTGGTGGAGGAAATGAATAACAGCTTTGTGTCTCAAGGTCACTGCAGATGCTTCAAAGCAACATGTTCTTATGCACCAAGGTTAGGTGGAGGTCCCCTCTATATCATGCGAGTGACGCAGACATGAAACAGAAACTCTCCCCGCAAGTCTTCCCTAATCTTGTGGTCTCTAGAAGTTGAAGGCATATTGGCTTGGGATGATGGGGCCAAAAGTTACTTACTTATATGGAGTTTTCCTGAGTGAAACGGGATGCTTTGAACGCTTACTCTGCTTCCAGAGGGCACTCCTCTCATGTGAGGTCAATCCAAGAAAGGTAATCTTGAAAGAAACAAACAAAAAATGGAAATTGCCTATTACATGCAATTCAGGAAGAAAACGGAAAGAAATGAAGCTCTACATGAAATGTCAGATGTACCCAAAAGATAGTATTTTATTGCATTTTAATGAAGCCATAAAAAACAGGGCCCCTTTCAGTTAAAAGCATATTAACAGTGGAAAAACTGTGAGAGAGGTACCACTAACAATTAATGCTGGGTTCACCATCCTAAACTATTGACAGAGGTCTCAATATCAAGCTGTTAGAACTGTGTGCTTGAATCACTTTCTGTGTAATGCAATTAATTATTCAGCAACTTATTATTGGGCACAAGATACCAACTCAAGAACAGTATCAATCTTAACTAAATTCTGTAAGCAGGCATTCTTCCTTAAGATCATGTATTTTTCCCCCTGTGCAGTTTTAGTAGCTCAACTAGACACACATCTCCAATAATTGCCCCTTATGCACAGTTCAAAATAGTCAAAATCAGGAAAAGAGAAGGGTAGATCTCAGACTCATGCCAGAAAATAACTGCCAGTGGGAGGGGGGCTACAGAATCCCCTCCTCCTTAGGTTGAATGTGCTCATGATGTTCAGCACATTCTGCTTGATCACAGCTTAAAGAAAATGAGCTAAAATGACCAGTTTACGTATTTGTTGCTAATACACTTTTCCATGCTCGTTCCTTGGCTGAAAATGAGCACACAAGTGGCTACTTATGCAGCCAAGCTGGCATCCTTGATTTGTAATGACACAAAAATAAAGAAGAGGAAATGGTGACTTAATGCTCCCAGGCAGCTATCTTCAAAGGTCATAAAGGGTTTAGTATGGAACAATGATGCACAGCTGAGCTGCCCGACAGTTTTCAGTTCAGCACTAGCCACTCCACTGGGCAGGATCAATTATTCATACCATATTTTTAGAAACTGGCAACAGAACTATTTTTCTCTCATGTCCTTCCATCCGAACACAACATTCTCAACAAGGATTTGCTGCACATGAACCTTAAACTAACAGCCCAACTTTAAAGGTCTAGTTTACTTGCTGCAATTTGCGATCCTGCAGCTAGAGCAAGATCCCAAATCTGGAAGTAGGGCAATTAAGAGCAAACCGGGCATGCTACACACCAGGGCAGGGGATGTGAGGCTTCAACCCTTTCATAAGCTGCCCAGGGAGACTGAAAATGAGAGCAACTCTGTTGTACAGTCACATTAAGTGGAGGACTTGTGCAATATTGGCTGCTGGTGTGCTGGCATTAGAGTTGGAACCAGTCCCATCTCTGGCACTGGGACACCAGTTTGTCCCTTATGCCAGTGCTGAAGCTACTATTCAAACCACTGAGCTGCTGCATTTCCATAATTACTGGATCATCATTCCATCTATATCCAAACTTCAGAGGTAAGTGTGGATCTTTATGTAGCCAAAACACACAAGAAGAAGGGTATCAGGAGGCCTGGAGGAACTCCAAGGCCTGGAGAAGTACAAAAAGTCTTTTTTGGGGAAGAAATGGACAGGGAATGGAGTCCTCCAAAACAGCCCAATGAGAATTTCAGTAGCCACAGAATTGTTTTGGGAGGGAAACCAGAGTGAAATATCATGAAGGGAGGTGTGGATGACTAACAGAACAGAAGCACTCCACATTAATATTTTGTTGCAGGTGTACTGATTCACAGAAACACTCTTGATTGGCACCTACTGGCTTGAGATATGGTTAGACCTACACACAAAACTGAGGTTCAGTATTGAGATATTAATTATAGGGATGCAAGGGTAGGTTGCTGAAGAAGTATTACAACTGAAAAACCTTTAGGAATAAACCTTAGATAAAATCAAACAGTACCTGATAGAGCTGAAGGATTAGCAACAACATAGCCCATGACGTGTGAAAAGATATGAGTGTAAAAATGTACAACACCCATGGAGAACAAGACACAATCTGCGTGAAGGAAGTCCATGCTCCATCTTCCCAGTATGTTGTGGTGCAGTGTTCTGACCAATCTACGACAAGGA